AGACTAGGCATAAGAAAAATGTTATTTACAGTGCATGTGTCCACGGTCTGGAACAGACTCCCCACAGAGGTGGTGCAAGCATCTACTCTGGACTCTTTCAAAAAAAATCTAGATATTTTTCTTGCTAAGATCACTTGGTCCCAACTGACTTCCTGCCTATGACAGGGGGGCTGGACTCGATCTGACGAGGTCCCTTCCAGCCCTTAATGTCTATGAAATCTATGAAACAGAGACTTCATGGGATAGCTCGCATGGCCGGAGGAGCATTGTCATAGATGGGTATAAATTTCAAGAAGGACAGGCAGGGGAGAAGAGGAGGAGTTCCTTTTTATGTAAAAGAGCTGTATGACTGCTCAAAGCTCCAGTGTGAAATGGATGAGAGTTGAAAGTCTCTGGGTTAGGGTCAGAAGGGAGAGCAACAAGGTTGATGTCATGGTGGGTGTCTGCTATAAACCACCAGAGCAGAAAGATGAGGTGGATGAGGCTTTCTTTGAACAGCTAGCAGAAGTTTCCCAGTCACAGGCCCTGGTTTTCATGGGGGACTTCATTTACCCTGACATCTGCCAGGATAGCAATACAGCAGTGCAAAGGCAATCCAGGAAGTTTTTGGAGAGTGTTTGGGACAATTTTCTGGGGTAAATGTTAGAGAGGTCAACTTGGGGCTGTGCTCTTCTTGACCTGATGCTCACAAACAGGGAGGAATTGCTGGGAAACATAGTAGAGGATGGTAACTTAGGCAGCAGCGACCATGAAATGATTAAATTCAGGATCCTGAGGAAAGGAAGGAAGGAGAGCAGCAGAGTAAGGACCCTGAACTTCAGAAAGGCAGGCTTTGACTTGCACAGCAAGTTGATGGGCACGTTCCCCTGGGAGGCCCGTCTGAGGGGAAAGGGAATCCAGGAGAGTTAGTTCTACTTTAAAGAAACTTTCCTGAAGGCACAGGAAGGAACCATCCTGATGCTCAGGGAGACTAGCAAGTACGGCAGAAGACAGTTTGGCTTAGCAGGGAACTCTTCAGTGAGCTAAAACACAAAAAGGAAACTTACAAGAAATGGAAATGACTAGGGACAAACTACTAGGGAGGAGTAGAACAGCATTGCTTGAGCATGCAGAAATGAAATCAGGAAGGCTGAAGCACAATTGGAGTTGCAGCTAGCAAGGATGCAAAGGGTAACAAGAAGGGTTTCTACAAGTATGTCAGCAACAAGAAGAAGATCAGGGAAATTCTGAGCCCCTTACTGAATGGGGGAGGTAACGTAGTGACAGAGGATACAGAAAAGGCTGAAGTACTCAATGGTTGGTTGGTTTTTTTACCTCAATCTTCACAGGCAAGGTCAGCACCCAGACTACGCACCTGGCAGCACAGTTTGGGGAGGAGGTGAGTAGCTTACAGTGGCAAAAGAACAGGTCAGGGACTATTTAGAAAAGCTGGACATGTACAAGCCCATGGGACCAGACAGGATGCAGCCAAGGGTGCTGAGGGAGTTGGCTGATGTGGTTGCAGAGCCACTGCCATGATTTTTGAAAATGTATGGTAATTGGGAGAGGTCCTGGATAATTGGAAAAGGACAAATATAGCACCCATCTTTAAGAAAGGAAAAAAGGAGGATCCAGGGAGCTACAAACTGGTCAGCCTCACCTCACTCCCAGGAAAAATCATGGAGCAGTTCCTCAAGGAATCCATGTCTAAGTACCTGGAGGAGAAGAAAGTGATTAGGAACAGTCAGCATGGATTCAGCAAAGTCAAGTCACGCTTGACTAACCTGATTGCCTTCTATGATGAGATGACTGGCTCAATGGGTGCAGGGAGACCAGTGGATGTGGTATACCTTGACTTTAGTAAGTCTTTTGATATGGTCTCCCATAGCATTCTCACAAGCAAGCTAAAGAAGTACGGGTTGGATGAATGGACTATAAGATGAATAGACAACTGGCTGGATCATGTTCAGGGGGTAGTAGTCAATGACTCAGTGTCTAGTTGGCAGCCAGTATCAATTGGAGTACCCCAGAAGTCGGTCCTAGAGCTCATTTTGTTTAATATCTTCATCAATGACCTGGAAGATGGAATTAAGTGCACTGTCAGCAAATTTGCAGATGACACCAAGCTGTGGGGAGTAGTAGATATACTGGCGGGTAGGGCTAGGATTCAGAGAGGCCTAGACAAATTGGAGGACTGGACCAAAAGAAATTTCATGAGGTTCAGTAAGGACAAGTGCAAAGTCCTGCACTTAGGATGGAACAGCCTCATGCATCAGTACAGGCTGGGGCTGACTGGCTAAACAGCAGCTCTGCAGAAAAGGCCCTGGGGGTTACAGTGGACAATAAGGTGAATATGAGCCAGCAGTGTGCACTTATTTCCAAGAAGGCTAACAGCATAGTGGGCTGCATCAGTAGGAGTGTTACCAACAAATCGAGGGAAGTGATTCTTCCCCTCTATTCAGCACTAATGAGGCCACATCTGGAGTGCTGGATGTATTTAGTTTAGAGAAAAGAAGACTGAGAGGGGATTTAATATCAGTCTTCAAGTACCTGTGGAATAGTTCCAAAGAGGATGGAGCTAGACCAGGGGCAGGCAGTTACTTTGGGTGGAGGTTTGGTGAGCTGTCGAGGGCCACATGGGTAGCCCTACCTCTTGACAGGTGCCCCATCCCCTGGGTGCCATCTTGGGACTGGAAGTCCCACCCCTAACCCCTGACCTTTGCCACCAGACATCCTGCCTCTTGCCCCCGAGAAATACTCTTTTTGGGAGGGAGGTGTTGCCATCTTAGAACCAGAAAAAAAACCCAATCATAACTAAAAGTCAAAAACATATTTTAATTTTATTACAAAAAATATTTTTATCATTAGTTGTGTTTGCATACTGTATATAGAGGTGATTGCATAATAACTCAAAATAAATTCTTAGTCTCTTGTATTGTGTGGGGGTGTGGTGGGGGTGTATGGTAGGGGTGTATGGTGTGTGTGGCGGGGGTGTATGGTGGGGGTGTATGGTATGTGTGTATGGGGTGGGGTGTGTTTGTGGGATGGGGTGTGGGAGGGGTGTGGGGAAGTTTGTGAGGAGATGTGGCTGTGTGGGGGGGCATAGGTTGTGGGGGTGTATCTCTGTGTATGTCTCTGTGTGTGGTTTGTGGGGTGTGCGGGAGGGTGGGAGGGGTGTAGGGACCCCCCCCACATGCTCCCCCTCTGGGCAGCAGCAGGTGGGGATGCTGGTGCCTGGCTGTGGCCAGCACTGCACATGACTGTGAGAAGTGCAGCCCCTGTTGGGCTGTTTGTTTCCCTGGCACTCCCCGCACTTGCAGGGCACAAGAGGGAAACCCCAGCCTGCTCCAGTGCCTGGGGCTTCCCTCCTGTGCCCCGCAAGTGTGGGGAGCACGGGGGAAGCTAGTGGCCCGGCAGGAGCTGCGCTCCTCACAATGCTGGCCGGAGCCAGGCACCAGCACCGAGCAGAGAGCGCCCCCCTGCTGCTGCTGTCCACACTGCCTGCCAGGGCTGTGCACCATGGGGGGAGTGTGAGAGGGGTCCCCATACTTCTCCCCCACACCCACACATATCCATCCAAGCTCCACGCTGCTGCTGGCTCCCTGGACACAGGCTCTGCACTGCAGCCAACCCCAGGCCCGTGCTCCAGCCCAGCTGCAGCCCTGCCTCTGTCCCCCCTTCCCTACCTGCTGCCCAGAGGGAGCCCAGGAAGCCAGCAGCAGCAGCCCCACCCATGCTAGCAGGCCAGCCCTTCTGCCCACCAGGGTGGGAGCGAGGTATAATGGGATTGTTGGGGGCAGGTGTAGGCGCCTTGCTCCCACCCTCTTGGGCGGAAGAGCTGGGCGGGGCACAATTTGTTGGGGGACGCCGCAGCTGGATGAAAGTGCCTGGTGGGCTGGATCTGGCCCGCAGGGGGCATTTTGCCCACCCCTGAGCTAGACTGCTCTGAGTGGTGACAGATAATAGAACAAGGAGCAATGGTTTTAAGTTGCAGCAAGGGAAGTTTAGGTTAGATATTAGGTAAAACTTTCTCACTGGCAGAGTAGTAAAGCACTGAAACAAGCTACCTAGAGACATCTCCATCCTTAGAGATTTTTAAGACCCTGGGTAGACAGAGCCTTGGCTGGGATGATCTAGTTGGGGATGGTCCTGCTTTGAGCAGGTGGTTGAACTAGATGACATCCTGAAATCCCTTTCAGCCCTAATTTAACATGATTCTATGATTTTACCTTTCCATTTGTGCAACATCTTTAGCTCATGGTCCACAATTACTCCAAGTGTTCCTGAATGAATGAGCTAACATCAAAACCTAAAGGACTCTTTCAATGAAATTTATACTGAACCCACTTTCTTTCAGTATTTAGCCCTCTGTATGAACTTATTTCAAACTATGTTATCAAAGTTCCGATGGAAAAAAAAACCTCCAACAGACAAATAGTTCTACCTTGAGCAACTTGGTGGTGTGTGTCCAAAAACAAAACAGATTTAATCATCTGACACTGCAGGACAGACCACCATTAAAAAGGCATGTCTTTTTTACTCATTAGCTCTCTACCTGGGGAAGGGATAACCTTGAATTTCATGAAGCTCAAAATATATTTTCTTGAGCAATGAGACTCCATTTTCTCATTGGTGAAGTTCATATGCTTTGAACATTCTACCCTCAGGACTTGTCGTGAACACAGAATGCAACGCCAAGGGAGCACTGCTAACCTGTATGTATTAAGGAACTGCTCATGTTGGCAAAGTTTTCTCACAGAGGAAGGAAAGTTCATTCTTAGAAAAAGGCTTATTTTGGAGCATAGTTATTAATAACAGTCTTGACAACTAGAGTTTTCAGACTAAGATTGATACTGCTTTGGAGTACCAAAACTCTGTTTTTGTCAGAAAAAAGCCACAACCTAATTTGAGAAGAGTAAAAAGGAAGTAGTATTATTAAAACAAGAACTTTTATCCACTGTGATTATAGAGGAAAATGGTCTTTTCTTTCCATGTTAACCTTTTCTTTTTTCTCTTTCCAGCTACTGTAATGATCTGATCCAAAGACCATTGGGATCAAGAGGAGAAACTCACTCTCTGATTTTTGTAGACATTGGTCAGCCCCTTGTACCTGCTTTTTCACATTTCCTGGCATTCTTATTTTTCCTTTCATTTATCTAACAACAGGGTGCATATTTTTACACAGTATATAGAATTCTGAGCTACTTGCAGAAGAATATATTTGATATTTTATTTAATAGTCTACTGATTTCTGCATTGTTTTCTGGGAGGGCAGGGTGTTGTTGGTTTGTTTGTTTTGGAGTTTTTAAATAAATATTTTAAAAGGAATAATTTTGGAACTTCCAGCAGACTACATTCAACTATTGTTTCTGTTTACACAAAATAATCTTCACCATCAGCTCAACCAAAAGTCTTTTTTATACCGTTTGCACAGTTGTCTGAGTTAATAGCAATTTCCTTCCAAGAGTCATTCTGTGGCAAGGGGGTTTGTGTTAAGCTTTTATGGAAGGAAAGTTTTCAGTGGCTTACTTGCCTTCTCTCTGGCTTTATGGTGTTATCCAGGAAAGTTCTGAAATAGATCTTATTGCTGTCCAAGAAACGCTTAGTATCTTGAGATCTGATTCTACTTCTTTCTCTGCCCTACTGTTCGGGTGTGTCTACATGAGATATCACATCATCATAGCAATGCACTATGGTGACATAGTGTCCACAGGTATCTACATGTGACCAGCAGATACTGTGCTGTAGCGGCACGCTCCCCCATTATAGCGTGTCGCTACAGTGAAGTAGCTGCTAAAAATAACCATGCGCCATGCATATGGCACAGTATAGACGGTTATTGCACCATGCTTTAGTACTTCCGAAAGGTAGCAGCATTGCTGTAGGACAATGTGTAGAGATGCCCTTTCTCTTCTCTTCCCTCTAAACCTATCCCCAGTGCTTGACATGTGCCTAGAAGTGTCCTCACAGAGCTAAGTCTAACTTCCTCTGCAGCATTTCATGTTTCTGAATATCCAGGAACAAAGAATATAGCTTAGCAAAAATTCAGCTTTCCATGTTTGTACGCTGCAAGATAATGTCTCAGTTTAGGAGCAAAGTAGTCAAAGAATCAGTGCCTAGTCCAACTTGCTAGAACTGATGTCAAGGAACTTTTGCTATTTAAGAGTTTCTCCAGAAACAAAGTAAATTGTTCTGTCCTCTTAAAATGGAAAATGCCTTGGCAGAGTGATATATTATTTGCCTGGCTGCATTTTCTCTCCATCTCCATCAAAGCTTGAAGAGTACTGGCACTTCTGCCTTCTCAAGCAAAGCTTAGTGTAACTGGACCACATCTAATGCTTGCACAATGCAAATGAAGATTGAAATGGTTGTTTCCTTTGATGTGTGTGACTAAGTGCTCAAAAGGGATATTTTCCCCTTGATCCTAAGCAAAATGGAACTTCTTTAGAAAGACCTGTTGGTTTCCTATATTTCCTGAGGACTGATGCAGTTTTTGAGCAAACGACTGAAGCAGGTTATGGTAAAGACAATGATTTTCCTCTAAGAAAGGAAATTTTCTTTTCCTGTTTGTAGCAATTGTTAATGTCATAGAGCCTGAGAGGCACAAAGTAAAGAGGAATTTAGAATGACCAGCTTGTTGGCTATCTCAGCTCAACCCTCAAAGATAAAACAGTTTATATGATAGAGAAGCAAAAGATACTAGGCCTCCTAAAACAATAAGTTGCAACGTCCATTTGGGATAATCAAGCAGCTAGAAAACTCTCCAGCATGGGTGGGTGTTCAGAACATATTAGAGAGTCCTACATAGTTTGTATCCATTCTAGACTATTCTCAGTAGAGTGATCCTTGGAAGCAAAGCACATTGTACATATTCAGCAGTCACATAGTGGTTGCTCTTTTCTACTTGCTTAATAAAGAACAAATCCTGAGCTGTAGAAAGTGTCTTCTATATTTAAGGTTGTAAGGCAATTTCCAGATACAGATGTCAAATGTTTACTGACATCTTCATTTGAAGACTCAGAAGAAATTCAACATACTTTAGACTTCACCCCAGTTGCTAAGTACTGCCTATGACTCATAAATTCAAATTCCATCATGTTATATAATGGGTTTGGACTATGAGGTGAATCTGAAAGTGTTGTTTATAGGACCCTCAGTCTCCCAAACCTACTACTTCTACATCTCTATCTCATTTGAACCAGCCTATGCATCTGAATTTTGCACCCAAAGTTCGACTTAGATTGGGCTTGGATATAGGTGAGGTATCACTAGCTCAATACAGACAAGGCAGACAAAATAAATGGTAGGTAATAAAAGGCCTTTTAATTACTGAAAAATGACTTAGGCTGTTCAGCTTCTCCTTTTCTTCTTTGATGCAATAATATCCAAAGGCCCCACACAAGGACCCATCATTGGGAATCATGAGATACCCTGAATGTGCCGATTGCAGCTGTTGCCAGAAATAATCTTTTAAAACTGCTTCTCATAGGAATGTTTACTTTTATTGCTGGTATGGAGCTTGTTACAATTACCTGTCTTTTTATACCCTTGCGATTGAACTAAAGTGCTTCACATGGGACTAGGCCTTGAGATCATCCAGAAGTATAAGTGTAGAATGTAACTGCTTATCCATACAGGTGTCCAGGTTTATTGCCCTCTGAACACAGAGCAGATTTTTATATGTGACTTAACTGCTTATTAGAGTAATAGGTCCATGTGGCCTGATTGGCAAGGTCATTCAGAACACCACCTGCTTTCTCTCAGCTCTTGTAGTCTGAGTTAGGAGGAAGTCCTGCCTGCCCAATCTAAAGCAGTTCTTCTCCCAAGGACTCACCAAATCTCGTTTGATTCTCTCTCTCTTTCTTTCTTTCTTTCTCTAAGATGGGTGTCTGACTTCCTACAGCATCACCAATGGCCTGAACACCATTCTTTACATTCACTGAGGCTCTCCATAAAATGTAATGTTGAATAAGGCCCTTTCTGTGCAATTTTTGGGTTAGCATAAAAGTTCTCTGCAGTACACTATTAATCTTAGGGCACTTGTTACCAACTGCTTGTCTTTCATAGCAAGCTTTCTTCACTGAGGAATTCAACATCTACATAGAAGCTTATAGAGGCATAAATATTATTATATACAGACATTAAAAATTGATTTATGACTTGTTTTGTCAAGATGGTATAACCTGTACAACATGGCCTGTATGTATCTTGAACATGGATTTTTCTCACAGTTCACAACACAATATTGAATTATGCAATTTCTGGTATTTTGCAATACGATGACATGAAATTAGCATCACCTGAATTTCAAAATCACTGGCTACAAAATCATTTAACATTTAAAATGTTGTCCTTATGAGCAAGACCAACTTTCAGGATCTTAATATCAGGTTGTTAGACAGGAGACTGTAACATAAGCGTACTGTGACTGTGACATAAGCGTACACAACACACACACAATATTCATATAAAAATGACTGGTCCACACACATACACATAACCAAGCACATACTCAGGCAGCTGCATGTTGGTGCTTAGGGGTGCTTGGGGCTCTGGATGGAGAAGGAGAATCCAAAAGTCAGCGGAGGCTGGAGATCTGAGTTCAGGGTTTGGACAGCCAGGAGGTGGAGAGAAGCCAGGTGACAAGCCAGGGGTTAGAGCCGGGAGGAGAGCAGAGAACAGAGCCGGGAGGTGAAGAGAAGATGGGAGGCAAGCTAGGGGTTAGAGCCCGGAGGCAGCAGGGGTTTAAGTTAGACAAAGGCCAACTCAGGATCGCAAATATCAATTTTATTATACAAGAGAGGGTGTAACACAATATGCAGACGACAAAATTATTGGTTCCTACGCACGCACTCTCACATGCACTTACACAATGGTAGCAGGGGAGAAACGGTTTAGTGGAGAGGGAGCAAGAGCAGTATTTAGAGGATACTGAAGTCAGGGTAGGTAGTTTAAGTGAGAGTGAAACACAGGGTCTAGAAGCAAAGTAAGCACAGAGAGCGGTAGAGTGGTTAGCAGAGGAACAGAAACCAAATCCCTTGCTTAGAGGGGAGATGTGGGTGATAGCAATCTATCGCAGGCTGTGAGTTGACCATTGGTGGCCAGGTGAAGTCTTCTCCAGTGAGGTGTTGTCCAGAGGGGGTCGCTGGCAGGGCCTCTGGGTGGATAGGTGGCGTGGTGTGGTGCTTGTCTGGTTGGAGAGAGTGACTCTCCAGGTCACACTCTGCTATCCCTTTTATAGGGGTAGTCCACCTGTGACTCCAGTGGTGAGGACATGCCCAGGCAAGGGCCAGTCTTGGTGTTTGAGCATGTGCACTCCTCAGACAAGGTCGTGCAGTTCCAAGTGTCCATATTGCCCTGAGTAGTACAATGGTGGGGTTGCTGCTTTCTGTTTTGTTTTTTTTTCAGTGTTGCTGGTTTCTGGAGGGTCTTTATCTTTCAAATGTTGAGTCTGTTTCTGGTTCTGGGAGTGGGTCTGTGGTTACAGGGTGAGTCAATGCAGGGCGGTGATAGAGTCATTAAGCTAATGGTTTGGTCATTCAGAGGGAGCTATTTTAGACCTGCTACCATTATGTTTCAGGCACTCTCATTGTTTCTCACTCACTCAGGGAACCGATTTACATAGGAGGGGTAGGTATGAATTACAGTGACAATAGGGCATGCCCAGGCAAAGGACTTGGGTGGAAAATTATAGTACAAGATGGAGTCTTGACAATACAAGATGGAGACTTAGCATTACTCTGGCTAACTTACAAAAACAGGTCTGAATCACCCAATAATAATATAAAGCAGTAAAAATCAATACAAAAATAACAGCAATTGATACACCACAGTAACTAACGTATGGAGATATACAGGGCATTTTACACTGATACAAGAGCTTATCCTATGTCTTATCATAACTACTTATAAGGAATAGAGAGGCAAAGAGAAAGTCAGAAATGGTTGAGGAAGGGAGGGGAATGTATTTCTATGTAGAAACAACAAAAAAAGAAAAACGGGGGAGTTTGCTACGAAGTATGCCTCCTAAATTCAATAACATCACTCCTATTTTTTTCTTTGCAGTTGTACAGGATGCATCTACATGTGCAATTAATGCAACTGAATAAGCTCTGGTGCAGTTTGAGCTAGAGTAAACTAATTCTGACATCACTATCTACATGTACATTTAAGTATAGTAATTTACTCCACTGTTGGATAATATCTATGTCTGATGGGACTATATGATGGCACTGTAAATTAGTCTATACCAGCCCAATTGCTATGCCTGTATAGACAGTGATGCTTTACT